GAATCCAGCTGGTTAGTCATGAGATCAGTGATCTTACAGACAAACCCACATGCTGGATCTGAAATGAGCATACAAGCTAGCTCCCATTGATCATTAGATCCCTTTGCTGTGGTATGGTAAGGCTGCCCAAAATGTAAGGAGTGCCCACTCTTTGGTTTGGATGAAAACTGAATCTCAGGATCTCCAAGAAGAGACGTGACTTGCACACAACTATCTTATACCATTTACACACGTAGGTATCCTGCTAAACAAAGGTATTTTTCCATGGTTTGGCCTGTCTTCCACGTGAAATTGAAGATAAATGACACCAAAAATGTTTATTTCAAAAACCCTACCAAAGTGGAGATTTGTGACTTTGGGTTTTAAACTTTGCCCGTGACCAAAATGCTCTGACATCACACATGACTTGTGTTTACACTCACTCACTAGTTTTTACCAGCTCTATTATTGCAGAAGACCACAATTAAAGGACAACTTTAAGGATGGTGTTGCCAGTTATTCCAAATCCAAGGTAGTTTCTTTAGTAAAGACGCTGATGATTTGGGGAACTACTGCTGCCTACAGGCTTGCTATGCCTGTGAGTAAGCTTCACAATGCACTATGTTTTTTTTTTAGCTGAAAACAAGTTGGTGTGGACCCAAGACTTTTTCTTAGATGGGTGAGGGAGAATATTCGGCATGTGTGTACATGACCTTAATCTGAAGACAGCAAATTGTGAGACTAGGAAAAAATTGCCAGATTTGTTAGTTTTCCCCTCAGCTAGATACTCCCTCTGCATACCCTCTTTTCGATCAACCTTATCTAGCACACCTGAGCCATGCCTGACTGTCTCAATGTCTCACCTGTGGACAGTTGTCCACTCCCGTTTCTGCCCCACTGTCATCATCAACACTCCTAAAGATCCAGTGCTCCTTCCATGCTCCTGCTTTGTTTCCAAGTTTAGGACCACACTTATCCCACATAATCCATGCCTTCCCTGTAATGGATCTCTACACCTCTGTCCCCTTTCTGGTATCGTGCTTCATTTCTACAAGTCCAAAACATTTTGTCCCAATTCTAGCTTGCTTCCAACAGGAATTGTCTTCGAAAAGGAATCCAAGACTCATGATTGGCCGGTCAGACAAAGCTTGTCATTGGTTCTTTGGGACGGAAGCTAGAATTGGGACAAAATGTTTTGTAATTGTAAACTTCAGTTTTGTAACTGTAGACTTAGCCCTCTCACCTTCTTTATGGGTGACCCCGCGAGGAAAGTTGACCATTGAGCAGGATTGATGGTTCATCCCTTGGGTCCATGTGGCAGGGGTGAGGAGTGAGCACCACCTCACCCCTGCCACATGGACCTCAAGGGATAAACCATTAATCCTGACCAATGGTCAATTTTCCTCGTGGGGTCACCCATAAAGACAATGGGAGGGTTAAGTTTTGCAACTGTAGACTGAGATGTGTGTTTTGAGAGCTGTGATTTGAAACTTGTACATTGATTGTTTTCTGCAAGTTACAAAATGAAAGTTTCATGTAGCGTACCAAATGTTACATGTTACAAAATGAAATTTACAGTTACAAAACATGTTACAGGTTACAAAGCTTGGTACAAGTTACATGTAATATTGTCCCAATCCTAGTTCCATAGATTGGTACTTCTGCTTCCTTTTAACTGGCCACATTTTTAGATTGTGGATTGTGCATTTTTTGAGTCTCAGTCTGTGATTCCCATGGACAAAAACACAGACTGAACAAGAGATCAGATCTGCAACAAGGTTAAACTTCATTTCATGCCAATTAAAACTTTTTGTCTGTTTTTGATCGCTCCTGTGTTGTGGCTGAATTTCAGTGTCCACAGTGAAACCATTAGAGAAAATAAATAGCAGTGTTGACCAGAACCTGTCAGCCTAACATCTCAATGAGCAATAGTTCACCACCAAATATATTGCACATTTTTACATTTTTGTAATGAAACACTGTTGATGTTTCCAGAGAGGGGGAAGAGATACAAACAGAAAAAAAAAAACAAATTTAAACCCAAGTGGAGGATCCGGTGGTGCTGCTTTAATCTGTGCAATAGCCTGGATCTGTGTTTTGGCTATCGCAGAAATAAGGTCAAGTGGAGACCTAAATAAAAGTGTGAATGAGGGCCTGAATGTTTCAGCCTACCACAGCTAAGATAATGATTCCCAGCTCTGAAGTAAAATGACTGCATGAACAGGACATAATGGATGGATGAAGAGCACACAAAGCTTCTTTTTAATATAGATATTTTTACTATTCTTGTGTTTAAGCTTATTTTCATTCATGGGGATCAACAATAATTTCTTCCTGATTTGTCACGTGGTGTAACTTTTTAACAGTTTGGTGATATGCGGTATGACTGTGGCAAATCTTTTAAATTATGCCATTTTGGAGATATTACTGTTTCATCAAGGCTTATGAAGGTCACTATTATCTGCTTCCAGTTAGATTTAAAAAATTTTCAGAGACTGACGTGAAGATACAGGGGAAAAAATGAAAAACACATTTAAAGCCAGGGAATCCTGATTTCTTTGCTCAGCTTGAAGATGCAATTTCTAAATAATTCATTGGATGATTAAAATCACAATTCCTTTCATCTGAAAAGTGATATGCATGTAACTTTACACTTTTGCCAAGATAACAAACCTAGTTTGAGTTTGTACTTGTGGCTGATTTATCCTAAACTCATTTCCTTCAGTCTTGGAGACAACAGAGCTGCAGAACAAAGGTCTTTCATGTGGGACATAAAGTAGAGCGGACTTAGCCTCTGGGAAAAAGTGTCTCCACTTAGTCATGCTAAGACAAGATAACACACAACTTGTGCAGATTAGTTTATGATGGGATACAAACGAACGGGTGCTGACCATCGACATATAAACATATGTATATATATATGGACAATGGGTTTCCATAAACCCCATATATATATATATATATATATATATATATATATATATATATATGGACAATGGGTTTCCATAGGCTCCAATAACACGTTTTTGAGGAGAAATGGGAGGTGGCCACCACCGCTAGTTTGACCGTGTCACAGGTTCCGTAAAGCCCAGACAATTCCACAAAAGCGAAGAGTGGGGCTGTAAGGCTGGGATCAAATGACGACACCCGGTCGAACTAGCTATAAGCTAACCTGAAGCTAACCCAAAGCTAACGCGGAGGTGGGAGCTAAGCTAATGGAGGTAGCTACCTAGCTACAACCGGAGCTAACTCTGTGGAACACCAGCGACCTGAAGCTCACACGGAGTTTGTGTGGAGGTTTGCGGCGCTTTTTCATGAAAACCATCTTTCTATGAATAAAAAAGTATTAAATCGGTAAGTTTATAAGTTATTTCCTTAATGAAAACATATTTTCCTTTGAGCAAGTTTTCAATATTTTTAACGTACCGTATTTTCCGGACTATAAATCACTCCAGAGTATAAGTCGCACCAGCCATAAAATGTATAATGAAGAAGAAAAAAATATATATAAGTCACACTGGACTATAAGTCGCATTTTGGGAGGAAATTTTATTATTTTTCTTACAAAATCTGAGACCAAGCGTTTCACATTGCAAGACAAGTACCAGTAACAATAACAGAATAAACAACGCAGGCGCAGCAGCGCGCCACGGTCTCCAGCAGAGGATGGCATTGTGGGGGCTTGGTGCTGACAAGCTCAATAATTTCTCACAAGCAGCAGAATACAGTTACAGTAATGAGACGCAGAAGCCAGTGGGGCAGGCAGCAGCCACTCACAGCAATCTGTGTGTGTGTGTGTGTGTGTGTGTGTGTGTGTGTGTGTGTGTGTGTGTGTGTGTGTGTGTGTGTGTGTGTGTGTGTGTGTGTGTGCTTGCATGCGTGTGTGCGCGCGTGTGTGTGTGTGTGTGTGTGCATGCATATATGTGTGTGTGCGTGCACGTGTGTGTCTGTGTGCGCGCATGCATGCATATGTGTGTGTGTGTGTGTGTGTGTGTGTGTGTGTGTGTGTGTGTGTGTGTGTGTGTGTGTGCACTTCCATATCCTCCGCTAGCCAAAGCCAGGCCCTGTTAATTGTGGACCTTGAGTGATAATGTGATATTATTTGGTTTATTGCAGCAGAGCGACTGCCAAGACCCTGACTACAGAGAGTTTATCTCACATCAGCTCTCACTCTGTTTTGCACATTCCTCCTTGGCCTCTACTCTTCAAATAAAATAAAACACACATTAAATCCACAATAGGCGTTGTCTTGAGCTGAACACTGCAGCTCAGCTGTAGCCACCTTCTGAAAAAAAGCTGCCACTTCAAATGAAATGACACCAAGTCAGAAACAAAGCATGCATCGCCTTGAGCTCTGTGATAATTAGTAGTTACTCATGTACAATGTTAGGTCACCTAAGGTCAAATATCCTCACAGAGACAACGCTCCTCTGTTGATAACCTGTAATGTGATTCCATGTTAAACAGAGAGGGGAGAAATCCGGAGACCACAGCTGCCCTCTATGGGCGTGAAGACATACTAAAACCACATAAGCAGAGAGGCAGCTTTGATTTCCTGCTACCGCCGCTGCATCATGACTGGAAAAACCAGAGAGAAGCTGCTGACAGACACTAATTAGTCAGCTTATCCTGCCAGTGTAGCAGTCATCAAACACAGCAGTAGCTGCAGGGTGAAAAAAGATCTCGCAGCGTAGTAACAGCAGATCCTGCTTGCTTAGAGTGACAAGAATCTGAGGTGTACTTAAATAATTTCTTACGCTTGTAGAATATGCTGTTAAGTCCCGACCCAGCACACCACACAGCCTTGTGCTGTGTCTAATTCTGTTAATTAGCATGCTCGGATAAATACTGCACAAAGGTAAAGTAGGGGGCTCTGCTGCCTCTTGCTGAGGGCAAAAACCGAATGAGGAGGTGAAAACACACATAACTGGTCTGAGATTTGTGTTCATACCGACCGAGCCTCAAAGGACCAGTGAAAGTCACAGTTCATATCAATAAGCTGGCTGGCCTCTCTGCTGCACCTGACAGACCGCTGGAGATTCAGAGAACTTGTTGCTCTGGAGGGGGGTGCGCTGTGAGTCCGCCCAGCTACTCAGAGGTCTTCCCCCTGATCACATGCCACATGCTGTGAAGTGAAAGCCATCAAAGACCTGACAAGATGAAAGGAAAGTATGAGAACTCCATCTCTGAAAACATTTTTATGTCAAAGAAAGACAAGTCAATGCTTTCAAAGAAAACAGAACACCCGTACAACTTTATTGACTTCCAGTGGATTTGGTGGCTGTTACAGAAATCTGAAAAGGCTCCTGTAATCACAGAGAGTTTACTGTAAATCAGGGGTGGGGGACCCTGGTCCATCGAGGGCCGCCATCCAGCATATTTTAGTTTCAACCCTGCATCATCACACCTGATTTCAATCAGCAGGTGATTAACAAGCTTCTGCAGAGCTTTATGAGCCGCAGAACAGGTGAGCCAACCGCTGAATCAGAAGTGTAGGAGCAAAGACATGCAGGACACCTCAAAAACCCCACTGGTACACCAGAGCATTCCGATGCACTGTGATGACTCTTTAAACACTTTCATAATTAAACTTTGATCATTAATTTTTGAACCTGATTATGTTGTTTTATTGACTTCATAGGAAAATAGAGTTTTTGGTCCTTACATAATTAATCAAGTTTTAAAGTTGTGTAAGTATGAAAATCGTGTATTCTGGCAATGTTGGTCAGATACAAATAATATCCATCCATTGAAATGTTGTTGTAAATTAATTAAATGACACCTAGCTGTTAAAAAATATTGTCAGATTCACAGCATATAATCATAAAAATCTGTTCTAAAATACATGGAGCGGGTGTAAGTCTGTGGGCGACGCCATATTGGATGCCATGTTTTCTTCTACGGAAGACCTTGAGGACAAAACACATTTACTGATTTGTAACAAGTGGATACAAAACTTTCATCAATAATAAACATTTACCTCTTCACTCATTGCCAGTGATGAAAGGGAGTCTGATGTGTTTGTCATTTTACTGGAGGTTGCACTCCTAGGGAACTTTGACCCTGGTGGCCATCCGTTGGTAAAGTCTTATTTGAACACAAAAATAATGCTTACTTGCATTGATTTAGGTATGTACTGCCCCCTATCACCAGGGAAAATACACACTGTCACTTTAACAAAAAGAAAGGAGCAGGTCAAACTTAAACAATCAGGTTTTGTTGATAGATAAACTCATTCTGAACATCCTCAGATTTTAAATTCTGTAACTTTAGGATGTAAAAGTGAAGCTCTGGCAGAGCTGAAACCATGTGGGTAAGTGAGAACAAATTCCACCATTAGAGCTGCAAAAGTCAGGTAATGAAACAAGGTCTGACCTGGCTGCTGCCTCTTCAATCCCATCAGCAAAGAAATACCAGAGGCTGCAGGTGAGAGAAGCGCGTGTGTGTGTGTGTGTGTGTGTGTGTGTGTGTGTGTGTGTGTGTGTGTGTGTGTGTGTGTGTGTGTGTGTGTGTGTGTGTGTGTGTGTGTGTTTGTATGTGTGCGGGTGTGTGTGTGTGCGTGTGTTTGTATGTGTGTGGGTGTGTGTGTGCGTGTGTTTGTATGTTTATGGGTGTGTGTGTGTGTGTGTGTTTGTATGTGTGTGGGTGTGTGTGTGTGTGTGTGTGTGTGTGTTTGTATGTGTGTGTAGGTGTGTGTGTGTGTGTGTGTGTGTGTGTGTGTTTGTATGTGTGTGTGGGGGTGTGTTTGTATGTGTGTGTGTGTGTGTGTGTGTGTGTGTGTGTGTGTGTGTGTGTGTGTGTGTGTGTGTGTGTGTGTGTGTGTGTGTGTGCGTATGTGTGTGTGTGTGTGTGTGTGTGTGTGTGTGTGTGTGTGCGTATGTGTGTGTGTAGCAGCATCTTACACTATAAACAGCAGTCATTGCAGCAACTGCTCTATTATGCAGGACCGCACACCCTTGGCTGCCAGAAAACATTAAACACATTGCGGAAACACTTGCAGTGACACTGAGAGAAAACACACAGTAACCATAATAATGAATCACTCATTCAAACATTGGCTCGTTTGTTCAGTCGCCTGCCCACACATTCATCCAAATCACTTGCTTGCTCACTAAACTGCTTATTCACATGGTTGCTTCCTCTTGACATTTCCATGGATTTGTTTGTTTTTGTTAAAACACATAAACCGTTTACATAAAAAAATCTATTCAAATTACTTTATTAATCCCAGGGGGAAATTCAATTGTTTCAGTACACACAATTCTAAGATCAGACATACATACATAGACACATGACAAGAATTGGTGACTGTGGTCATTCGCAACACGAGTCGCGATGCCATTATAGATTAAGAGGGTTCATATGAGGGTAGAGTCAGGGGGAGGGGAAAAAAGGCACTTCAGAGTTACCCCCGACAGAGAGGATAGCTTTGCTATGCAACAAAACACCTCAGACAGATGCAGATCATATGCACACAGACTTCAGACATTACACAACATAAGTATCCACTAGGTGGGGAGGTAGGGTTGGGACTCTCCTCACTTCAGAGTGTGCAGCGCTCACCTCCATTTGGACAGGGGAGAGAGATAATGGGTTAGAGAGCACATTGAATCCTAGATACGGTTCCACGGCCTTCACCGGTCACAGTTCCGCCCAGGCTGGGATGGGGAGAAAGATTTTCCATAGCGACGGCAGCATTCCACATTTCTTCTGAGGGGAGTTTTCACTTCAGCCTCACCGGCTCCAAGGGCACCAGATTCAGATAAGAATTGTTTTGGGTACAGACAGAGACAATTTCCTCTCTGTCTTAAAGTTCTGTTGATCTCCAACCCCTCTAAATCCAATAATAGCGTGGATTAATCTATCCCAATCCATGCTGATAATTTCCTCTCTGCCTTAGTGTTCTGTTGGTCTTCAACCCCTCCAGGTCCAATAATGGCATTATCAAACTATTCCAATCCGTGCTGATCCGTCAACTCTCTCCTTGATCGAATCCACCTTCTGTGCCAGAGCCTGAATCTCAGCCAAAGTTCCAAGCTTACGACTCATCTCGACAATTATATGAGTTTGTGAGTTTACAGCGCGACGCATTCCATCCCTGAGCTCCGGGATTAAGCCAATATTCCTCGAAAGCTCGTTAATTTTCCGGTATGCCAGGTAACCACTCAGGCCAAACAGCAGGAATCCCGACACCAAAACGACGAATTTCCAAACATCTTCAGAATCCTCTACAGACAGTTGAGAGAGGCAGATCAAGCTCCACTGTTTCCAGGAGTCCATGATATACCCAGCTGGCTCTGTCCCAGAGGGACATAAAGGGACATACAGTCCTGTGAAAAGCACGAGAACATTGTGTACTATTAACACTGACAAAGTGTCAGTGAGGATTTTTTTCCTTATTATCAGATAATTAATAAGTTAATGAAAAAGACAGGAGCTGCTTTTCTTTTCTTTCACTTGCTTGTGACAGTCGGGATCTGCTCCATCAGCACCTGCTGTCTTGTCTCACTTTAAGTGGTAATCCAACTCACCTGCTCCTCGTGTCCTACCCACCCAAGTATTTCAGAAGCTGAGTCATATATATAGAAAAAATTAAACATTTATTTTAAAACTAAGAGGCTAAATAATACGCCTTTTTTAAAATAAAACAATCTGTCTAAAGGTAGACATCAATATCTCTTTTAAAAGTTTGAGTACAACTTACAAGGCATTCATTCCTGTTAAAGACCACTGCAAATGTATTGATTAAACCTGTGTTCAATTCCTTTAAACATGTGGTTTACTTGTTTAATCAATGCATTTGCAGCAGTCTCGAGTAGGAATGAATGACTTGTAAGTCACACTTTGGGGAAACAAAGCTCTGGTGCACCTATTTCAGGAACTAGACGTGAGCCACATCAGAGCTGAGCTTCAGACCGGTTAACAGCAATGTGACTCTACCACTGACTGAATTTGCTATGCAACGTTGATGTTTTATCTCCACAAAAATTCGTCTAAAGGAGATCTGCTGTGTGGTGGAGTTGATAATGCTAATGGTTAGCTTCTACTAGTCAAGACGTTCTCTTCTGTTTCCTGGACGCTAAAGCCTAGTTTATGTTTCTGTGTCTGTGTCGGTACAGAGACGCGCAACACCATTATCCGTCCTTGAAAGTGGTAGATATCTAGCGGCAGGCATGGAGCAGCTTGAAGAATACCTCGTGGAAAAACTCTAAGCATAAAAACGTTTTATTCAACTGTGGCTGGAGGAGCGAAAAGATACAAAGCAAGTGTTTTATTCGTGGATGGAAATGACGGGAAATGTGGGTTTAGAGGTGGCGAGCACATGAAGAGGTGGAGGAGAATGAGAGACAAAATTGTCCGTGTTTAAAAGTATCTAAAATACAAAAAACTACAATATAAACACAATAGTAAATGCTATTTTGGACCGGATACATGACAGGATACCACAGAACAGCGCTACGCCCCCTGTTGTCGTGGCGGGGAACTGCTTTGCAACACCCCCCAGCAGACGGACAAGTCCGAGAGCAAAACGCGTCTGTCCGTGCGTGTGCGTCTCCCTTGAAGCTGACGCCGGTGGGTCCATGAATTTTAGGTGACAGTGTGACGTAGGTCTGTCAGGCTTTTCTAATCCTAGAGTTTCACCATCTCATTTCTATCAGAAGCTAAAGCGGTAGATAGGTGTAGGAGACTATGTTCATGTTCAACCTGCATGATCAAATACATCCTTCACAGAAAAAGAGAGCAGAAAAAATAACTGAGATGATGTTTAGAAACCAGACGGGGAGCTTGTAAATTCTTTCTCTTGTGTTGAATCATTTCAAATTGCATCACGAATTGTATCAAATCAAAATCATATGTGTAAATCATAAAAAAAACCCGTCAGCAGGGCCTAATCGTATCGAGCTGTATCGAGGGTCCCCTTATCTTTAGGGTATCGCTGGGTGCTCTGCTCCTAAATGTCAGCATATAGGACTTGTAATGCAGCCCAGTGCGAGATCTGCCTTCACTTATGCAGGACCATTAGCACCATCCTCGAGAAGGAAATGCAGCAGGAGAAAAGCACATATTCCAAATGTCACACAACCACAAATCAGTCGTTTTTATTCATTAAATCATAGGATATTGTTTAAAATGCAAACATGAACCAGCT